GGGGACCGGCAACGGGATTGCAACCCTCGGTGTTGCTCCCGCGCCTCGCTCAGCCAGCGAGCGGGAACCGGTCTGTATGTGGGATCCGAACCCTCGGGTGGGAGCGCCGCCGCACTTCCCAAGCGGCGCACTTATCCAGTGCGCCACTGGGCCGGCCCGGAAGTATTATTCTTCATGTTATAAAAACTCTTGGGGCCATCTTTCATTTACTCAGCGTATATCTTTTTGGTTTTTTGTCTTATTTCATTTATTTAGCATAATCTACACCTGTGTTCTTATTGTCGTAGGCTCGGAAGACGTTCTTGAAGCTTGCCTTCTGTGACATCTGTCAAAAGTTTCTGCTAAATGGATTTCGATGTCAGACTTGTGGCTACAAATTTCATGAGCACTGTAGCACCAAAGTACCTACTATGTGTGTGGACTGGAGTAATATCAGACAACTCCTGTAAGGCATTGTTTTTTTCAAAGATGTAGGGGTAGGGAGTATAAACACGTTTGATGACAAGTCTGGGTTTTAGACTTGTTAAATGAATTGTTGTGATCCATATCGACTTTAGAAACATGATAGTCTGAAACTAACTAGATTTCATGTGGCATTACAACTCTCCAGAATAAGCAGGTAGGACCTATTATCTGTCAAATAGAAATTGACTTACAGTTATTCAGTGAGGAAAAGAACAAAAGGGTATGAAAACTGAAAGGGTTGCTAGTAGACACTACTGTGTATTTTGTTGAATATGCTGAACAGGCCTTTGATGTTGGATTGGTGCTATTTCCTTCTCAAACTGGAAAAAACGTTATTTGGACTTAAAATGGTTTGAATGTAAAATCTTGATGAAAGACTCTTGTTTCCATTAGGAGACAAACCAGTTGCCAAAAGATATTTCACATTTACAAAATATTTACTTTTATTAAGTAATTTAAAGTTTAAATTAAAAGTGCACATTTCAGAGTGCCTTTTAAAAACTATTAACAGGAATATGAAAAGTCGAAGTCTTATCCTTTTTTGATGGTATTAGGAAAACCAAGGGAATGTTATCATTTGGGAACATCTTTTTTCTTTCATGGTAGTCATATGTTGATTTTGTAAAGAGAGCTTGAGTAGCATAAATGGCACAAGCTTTGGAGTCCAATGGACATGTGTCAAAATCTCAGTGTTATTAAACTAGTTGTAACCACTTCTGAGCTTCAGTTCACTCATCTGAAAAAAGGGGGCATTACCTCCCTTTCAGTGTTCTTGTGAGGATTAGCTGAGATAGCAGCTGGTGAAATTGCTAAGCATAAGGGCCCAAACTCATGGAAAGAAGGTGCCCAATTAATGGTAATCTCACTTTTTCTCTTATTTATGATAAGAAATAAGAGGACCAGAAGGTGCTGAATATGATTTATTCTTTATAGTTTAGTCTTTTCATCTATGTGTTTCTAAGACAGAATGTTTTCAGAAAAGCTGTATGTGCTATAGGTTATAAAATGCCCTACTGCAGCTTTAAAAACCATTAGTTTGATACAGCTGGACATTGGACCAATATTTTCTAGAAATGCACTCTTACCCATGTATGTTCATTGGCAGGTCAGTATTATTCACATTTTATAATTATTCAGACCAGTCATTTGGATTGGTGGTTCCTTTACTCCAGGTAAAATGGTGGAGGAAAATGCACCTGGTGAAAATTCAGTTGGGGTAACTGAGTTTGCAATGCAAAGCAGGCTGATTTTCTCTGTGAAATTACTGCAAGTCTGTAAACCAGTCTTTCCCTGATTTCATTTAGATTGTTTCCAAATTCAACTATTGGTGATAGTGGAGTCCCAGCACTACCTTCTTTGACAGTGCGTCGGATGCGAGAGTCTGTTTCCCGAATGCCTGTTAGGTAATTTTTTACCTATATCTTTTCTTTTGGAAAGTTATGTACAAGTGGGTAGAGGTTGGAAACCCGAACACAAAAGACAAGAGTTCCTTTGCAATCCCTCCTTTCTCTCTGTGTAAACCCCCTTGCTGCTCCTGTGGAACTTGATAGTGGTGTTCCAGCAAGATGTAGAAGTTTCTCTTTATGGCCCTTAATAAGCTCTTATATTCTGGAAAGTGACTTTGACCACAGTTCCTTCTGTTATCTTAGCATATCTCTTAATATTTCATTACATGGTAAAGAGCTTGAGATTCTGCCCTCTAGTATGTAATGAGTTGAGCCTCAATGGAAAGGGTCCCAAAACTGAGTACAGTAACTTAGTGAAAATAAAACCCTCATTTTTGAAATGCTTATTATGGCCTTGCATTGCTAAAACCATGATACCTAATAGACTGCTGTCTTTAAAAAAAAATTGAATTACGGGGCCGGCCCGGTGGCGCACTGCTACAGTGCGCCGCTTGGGAGCGCAGCGATGCTCCCGCCGAGGGTTCGGATCCCACATACAGACCGGCCGCTCACTGGCTGAGCGAGGTGCAGATGCAACACCGAGGGTTGCGATCCCGTTGCCGGTCCCGGTCCGGTACGGGCACGACACTGAGGGTTGCGATCCGTTGCCGGTCACGAAAAAAGACAAAAAGAAAAAAAAAAAATTGAATTAGATTTTCAGTATAAATATTCTTTCTAATGTGCCCATGAATTTGCATATAACTTGTCTTTGCTCTGTTTTCCAGCTTTAAATTCAGAGATTTGTTGAGTTCACGTCTTGCTCAGTGTTGCATATGAATTTGGAACCTAAAATAAAATCTACATTTTTCTCTAAAATATCTGACTTTAATGTGTATGTAATCAGATAACACTTAATGGCCCTTGTAAAACTACCATGAAAATTGTTAAAAGCAGCATATTTCAGAACAAGGAATTTGTATTCGAATGATGTCTGGATAAATATTTGTGTATAATTTATTTTTCTTGATAATTTGGGGGGTGGGGCGACTAGCCCATATGGGGATCCAACCCCGTGACCTTGGCATTACCAGTACCACTTTCTCCCAAGTGAGCTCACTGGCCAGCCCCTTTCTTGATAATTTGAAAAGTAAGTCTGACCAAAAAACTACTTTCCTCCAAAGATTAGAGGAAACCAGGCCTCTGAAGGCATAAACAGAGAACTACATGGGAAGGCAATTTTTCAAGGCGGTAGAACAATTTCCTTTGGAAAAACTAGCCTTTTATTTCTTGAATTCATACACAGGTAGTACCTGAATCTGAACAAAGCTCAAACTGATCTTTAGAACAAATAATGAAAATGTTATACCTCTTTTTAGTCTTTATTTTGTGGGTGGCTGGTACAGGGATTGAACCCTGGACCTTGGTGTTATCAGTACCACGCTCTAACCAACTAAGCTAATTGGTTAGCCCCTGAAAATGTTATAGTTTTTTTTTTTTTTAAGGTGTCCTTAACCCTTGACTTGGTGTTGTCAGTACCATGCTCTCCCAAATGAGCTAACTGGCCATCCCTATATAGGGATGTGAACCCTTCACCTTGGTGTTATCAGCACCACACTCTCCCAAGTGAGCCCACAGGCCGGCCCTATGATGTTATAGTTCTTAATGTGTGTTCCCTGTTTGGTTGGTGGGAGAATATGGTGTTGGCTGAAAAGAAGCCAGTGGTTAATATCACAGATAGGCATTGGAGTCTGGAAATTGAGTTCACATTAATTTACTCTGTGTACTGGTTGTAGAGGGGAAAGGATGTGCAGTGGTAAAATCCTGGCCTTTTTGCAGACATGCTCAGCAGGTCTAACCATCTGTTTAAAATCTTCCTTAAAGTTCTCTAATTTAGTCTCTAAATTAAACAGAGCAAGTTCCAATTAATTTACTAGGTGGTGGTGTGGTTGGCAAATCTTAATCTATTCTTTCCCACTGATGCTGTAAAAATTTGGAGTATTCTAGGGCCGGCCCGTGGCTCACTCGGGAGAGTGCGGTGCTGATAAAACCAAGGCCACATGTTCGGATCCTATGTAGGGATGGCCGGTTAGCTCACTGGCTGAGCGTGCTGCTGACAACACTATGCCAAGGGTTAAGATCCCCTTAACTGATCATCTTTATAAAAAAAAAAGAATTTGGAGTATTCTGTAGAGATGATTTATTAAAAAAAAGAAAACTTATAATGTATTCTCTTTTTCATGTGAATTCTAAGCACATATATTATTTCCTTTTCAGAAATTTGCATGCAAAGGCAAAAGAGAACAGAAGAGAATTTTTAAATGGTGCATATTGAAAGAATAAAACATTTTGTCAAAGGTTGTACAAGTAGAGTTTGCCTCTATAAATATCTGAATGAAGTTGGTAGTTGAAAGACTTTACCAGTGGGAGGCCTGAATGCCAATCATGGAATTTTCTTTTTCCTCCTGGCCTAGTTCCCAGCACAGATATTCCACACCCCATGCCTTCACGTTCAACACCTCCAGCCCTTCCTCCGAAGGTTCCCTCTCCCAGAGGCAGAGGTCGACTTCTACACCTAATGTCCACATGGTCAGCACCACCCTGCCTGTGGACAGCAGGATGATTGAGGTAATAGGGCCCCTTGGGGGTAGTGATGAGCACCAGTCAATTAATGTGGTGGTTGATTGTCTGTCAGAGAGGTTTGGTTTCAAACCTGATCAGGAATGTTGCAGCACTTTCTCAGATCCCTGGACTTAAAATTTTTTTTTTATTCATAATGTTTTTAGACTGTCTAAATAATCCGGTTGGTATATCATTCAAGTGGAGAACTAAATCTTCTTGAAGAAATGTTAACATGTGAAGTCATCCTTTCCACGTCAGATTTGAATAGGATTACAATGAGCTAGTATATAAAATGCCAAAAGAGTAGTTTTATTTTTGTGTGGGAAAGAAAATAATAGTGATGGAAGACTACAGTCTCTCTAGAAGACTTTTCAGTGATTTTATTTAGAAATAAAAGGGCGGAGTCCTAGGATTTTCATAAGCAGGTATTTAGGGAGATGTAGAAGCCCAAAGCTAGTGTTTTCAAACTGCTTTTTCTTTTCTTGGCTTTTGGTATGTTCTGTTTGGTTTGCTTTCTTGTTCATCTTTAATAACAACTGAATACACCTAAAATACTTCCTTTGTTCTTTATTCTTTTTTATTTCTCATTGCTTTGGACTAGAATAACAGCCTGAATGCTTCTCCCAGGGCGTGGTCCAGACGATTTTGTTTGAGGGGAAGAGTAGGTATTTTTCTTCATGCCTTTGCTTTCTGGTTAACAGGATTGCTAAGAGTATCAGACAGTAGACTATCAAAAATGAAACAATTGCTAAGTTAAATTTATATTTCTTGTCAGATTTGTTTCCATGTTTTCTTTTTTTGGCAGTAGAGTATTTGGGACTAAAAAAAATACATGATATTGCTAGTAGGTGAAGTAAATTACTCATTAGGTTTTGAGGCCAAGGGCATTAAAAAAAAAAAAAAAAAAAGAAAAAGTCATTTCCAACCAAAGACTAATGTTAGACTTAGTTAGTTGGTGTTCCCAGTGTCAGTATTCTATTTATACCTTAGAAACCAAATGTGTCAGTTTGGTTTATATACCCTGGAAAATCCTTTATTAAAAGCTCATCAGTGATCACTGTGCTCTTTCTGCATCATGAATTGTTCTTTGAAAAACCTCACAGAGAGTTTATCTCACTCAGACTTCAAGTCACTTGCCACTATTGTGAGAAGGTCATTTGTAAGCTAGAATATTATTATTTCTGTTTTGTTATGATTAGTCTTGATAATAATACAATCATATATCAGTTACTTTTCTATTATATGATTTATTTCTGTGTTAACAAACACTGATAGTTAGGGAAAATTAAAAGTGAAAAATCTTGAATTTTTATTGTAAAATAACTAGCACTAGTTAAATTTTGGTTTCTGTTATTTTTTAAAAATCACGTATGACTCAGCATTTTAAAAGTGGGCATTGTTGCTTTATTTAGGCCATTTGCAGTTCTCTTTAACTGATATTTAGATTCCAGGACGATAGAAAAATTCCTTCTAAGATAAATCAATCCAACTGTAAAAATTATCACAAAATAAAATATGAGGTATAAAATGGATACAAGGAAGAAAATTGCTATGACATAAGGAAAAAAATCCTAGTACGTGGAAATATAATTCTGGTTAATCAAAATACATTGTGCTATGCTTTCACTAAAAACAAAGAACAGATCAGTTGGATATTGAAGGTACAGCTGCTGAATAGTCTATTGAAATCCAGGTTATTTTTGGCCAATGTTTGCCCACCTGGCAGTTATCCTCCCACACTTAAAAATATACAAAGTCCTGGGGCTGGCTAGTTAGCTTAGTTGGTTATAGCACGGTGTTATAACACCAAGGTCAAGGGTTTGGATGCCCATATAGGCCACCTGCCAAAAATACACACACACATACACACATACACACACACTCCTGAGCTTCTTACCTACCCTCCCAGACATACTTAATCAATCCTAGTGTGTGTGTGTTTGAGCGGAGTCTGTATTCTTAAACACTTCTCCAGGTGATACCAAAGACTGGACAGGTTCAGGAATCAGAACTAAGCTTGACTTTATTGATAAACTCTGAAGATGTTGGATGGGGCTGCCAAAGTGGGGATTGGGTGGTAGAGGAGGAGCAGCTTGGTTTATGATTCTTTTTATGTTGTAAGGATGTCACTGAGTGGGAGCATTCTAGTAAAAAGTATCTTGTCTATACTGTAGTTACACAAAGAAAACAGAGTATGAGTTCGAAAAAAATATTCTTTTTGAGGAAATGGAGCCAAGTGGTTTTGTATTATTCTGTTATAAATTCTACTCCAAATGAAGATTTTTAAAATTAGGATTTAGGATTCATAGAGGCCTTTATGATTTAAACTCTTTCCCAAACAGTTTCTAATAACTGTATTGGAAAATCTTTTGTGGTGAAAGAGCTGAGGGCTGAGATTTGAGATCTGTGTATGATGGTTTCTGCCACCTACTGGCTCTGTGACCCTGGCCAAATCTGTTTTCCTGTTCAGATGTGTTTCTTACATGTAGAGTGTAGGTTTTAGACTAGGATTTATGGTCTTCCCAGTGTAGTCACAGTGCTTACCCTTGTCACATTCAACCTCTGGTCAATTTATTTTAACTCCTAATGGAGTAAGAGTGAGTTTGCCACCGAATCCCCCAATTTTTTTCGAGCCTCAGTGAAGCAAGTTCCCCAATCTTTGGAAAAATCTCGGCTGATAATAACTTTGTTAGCCTTCCTTAAAAGAGTGTTTGTTGTAAACATTGTTTTCTTCTGAGAAAAAGAATGTAGTTTTCATTGTATATGAAAAATTAATACAAATTCTTCTAATGTTTAATGAAAAACCAATCTTGGAGATATTAGCCATCAGTGTTTGGTGAATTTAATCAAGGAGAGTTGATTAAAGTTTACAATTAGACTTTATGTGTTTTAGAGGTTTTATAATGCACATTGTTCATGCAAATCCTCCTCCTCTCTTTTCCCTCCCCCAGAGAAAATCTTTCTGGTGTACAAGTTGACCAGTTTTCCTTTTCTGTTTCAGGATGCAATTCGAAGTCACAGTGAATCAGGTACTTTTCCATAGTCATTTAGCAAATAGTAATGGACTTTTTCTTTTTATGCCGTGTATCTTCTGTTGGCTTATCCATGTATGGATTCTGTTTGTCTTATCTATTAAGCCTCACCTTCAGCCCTGTCCAGCAGCCCCAACAATCTGAGCCCAACAGGCTGGTCACAGCCCAAAACCCCTGTGCCAGCACAAAGAGAACGGGCACCAGGATCCGGGACCCAGGAGAAAAACAAAATTGTGAGTGTGGCTAGTAGTACCTCTTGCTGATTAGGGTGCAGTAAGAAAAACCTAGTTGGAAATTAGAATGCTTTTAATTTATTTTGGGAGAGGACTATAATATGTTTAATGAAGGAGATTAGAACTGTCAGTGCCATTTTTGGTGTGCTTGCATTGGATAACTTGCTAGTTTGCCACAACTAAAATGGTATTTTTTCAAAAGACAAAAATTGGAATTAATGGTTAACATGTCTATCTTTAAAAGATATGGGAACAGATAGGGGTGCGTTGATCCGTTCTTTGATGTCCTTGTTAATCAGCAGCCTGTTAACATTCCATAGAGTATATTAATGATCTCTCCTTGTTTCAGAGGCCTCGTGGACAGAGAGATTCAAGCTATTACTGGGAAATAGAAGCCAGTGAAGTGATGCTGTCCACTCGGATTGGGTCAGGCTCCTTTGGAACTGTTTATAAGGGCAAGTGGCATGGTAAGTGTGGGGCCCTCCCTTGACTGCAAGGTTTTGGTGAAGTCAAGTTTCAGTCCAGAGAGGACCAAGAGGGGGGTGAGACTGAGTGTGCTCCTTGGCTCGCAGCAGAACTCTCCTGTGGATACTTGTTTCCATCTGAAGATAGAGTTTGATGATATCTCTGTGAAATTTCACAGTATTCTTTTTAGACTCATGGTGCTTTAATTGGTATGATAAAAGTTCCCAGGATAATTAGAAATTAATGGACAAGACTTGAGCCCTTTAGTCAAATGTCAGGGGTGCTTCTCCTTATAAACTGATTAAATACAGTCTGCACATGGGCCATGCTTTGAAGCTCCTTAAATGAGCAAGAGTCTGCTGCTCTGGGGGGAGCATTGGTTCTAGGAACTTAAAACTGGAAAGGACCTTGAGATTTTGCATGCAAGAAAACTGGGGTCCTGAGAAAGGGGCTAACTTGCCCACGGTCGAACAATTGGACATATAAGAAAGCCAGAAACCTCCTGAAATAGCTTTTCTTTGCTCTACTATGGGGTTAGTTGTGGGTGTTTCTGTCAAACAGGGAGTGCACACACACTTAGTTCTTGGACCTTTGTGAAGTGAGCCAGCTAAACTAGCCGGCCAGCCTTTTTTTTGTATTGTGTGAGCTTTTAGACTATGATAAAGAGATGTATTTGTTACAGTGTTACTTCCAAAAAGACTAGGAATAGAATGTTGATAACATGTCTAGTGTTTTTGAGATTGTAAGTTTTTCTAAGGGAGCCTCAAAAGTCAGAGGAGCAAGGAGCAGTGGAGTTTTATGCCATCCTTTCAGAAAGCAAGTCATAGTCTGTGAATGAACAAAAATGAGAGGTCAAGAAAACCATATTTCCTAGATTGAGTGTTTTGCACTATGCATTTTGAACTTGGCCCAGTAGCCATGGAATTAAGTAGAATGGTCTCAAAGCAACCAAGGTAGAAGCCTCAGATCCATAACTAAAGCTGACATATTTATGTAAAGGAGAGCTGCTCAAGCCCAAGCTTAGAATCTCCTTTAGAGCCTAAGTTTGGAGTCTGATTCGCCAGCCTCTGCTAATTACAAACAGTGCATTAAAGGGATAAAGTCACTGTCAGAGGCCTTCGGAATGATGCCAGCAGGAATAATCACTGATAGCACAGAAAGCAGAAAACCCCTCAAGCAGTCTGCACACCTGAGAGGAACAGCCTTGGTGTAACCTACATCTGGAGAGCCCCCCCTAACTGAGGGCAGCAACTGGGGTTTATAACTGTGGCACAGTCAATAGGAAGGAGTGGTGTTCATTCTGTTCTGTTTTTTTTTTTCCTTTTTTGTCTTTTTTCGTGTCCGGCAACGGATCGCAACCCTCAGTGTCGCGCCCGTACCGGACCGGGACCGGCAACGGGATCGCAAACCTCGGTGCTGTGCCCGCACCTTGCTCAGCCAGTGAGCGGGAACCGGTCTGTATGTGGGATCCAAACCCTCGGCGGGAGCGCCGCCGCGCTCCTAAGCGGCGCACTGCAGCAGTGCGCCACCGGGCCGGCCCATTTCTGTTCTGTTTTAGAAAGGAGGGATGTATATAATAAGTTCAGTTAATCCCAAATGGTTAAAGCAGGAAAATGACTTGATGTTTTAAAAGGCAAAAATATTCCAAATTCACCAAGTGATAATAGACCTTCTTCTTCCTTCAGTGGTTGATGAATGAGGTATCAACTTAATATCTTATTAAAAACATGATAACCAATAGGAAGGTGTCTTAACTCTTCTGTACTATATTTGCCTCTGACTTTGTTATTAAGGGAAAGTAAGTAGTTCTGGTTTGATGTGTAATAACTACTTCCTGAGCTACCTTCCATAAAATGTTACCTAGCCATTTATTTACTTTTGTCATTTATATTACTTGCTAAGATTAATAAGTACTATCCTTTAAAGGTTGTAAGATTGCCAGCTACAAGAGTATTTGGTTAATTCCAGAGGGAATATGTAAGGTGTTACTATACAATTTTGTACTTGTCTGAGAAATGGGTTCAAAAGGAGAGAGGGATGAGCAGTAAGCAGTTTACTGAACGCCTGTTGCATTGTGTGCTGGAAAGGTGGACATGGGAATGCCCGAAGATTGCTGGGGCCAGGTTGGAGAGCTGCCTTTATTTTGGGCCCATCCCTCCTATCCCTAATTCTATAGACTTGGTGCCAGGCAAGGCCTGGGGATCTTAGGCTGGGCACTGAGTCCTGAATTCCCCTGCCAGAAACATTTCTTGACCAGTGCCAGTACTATAAGCAACTAAGTTCTCAGTATTCCCTACCAGAGGCTAAGTTCCCTCTTCCACTCCAGAGTCTCAAATGGACACATCAGTTCATAACTTGCCTAGCTGACAGTTTCATCTCAGAATTCATTCATTTGTTCATCCAGTGTTTCCTGAACATTTTTGTTTTAAACACCAAGCATTCTTTTGGTGGCTAGGAAATGAAGCAGTGAACAAAACAGATTAAATTTTTTATTATATTCTGGTAGGGACAATAAACAAGAAAAGTAAAGTCTATAGTATGTTGTAAGTGCTAAGGAGAAATATGAAGGAAAGCCGGTATGGAGTGGCAAGCCCAGTTCACAAATTTTAGTAGATTGATCAGGGAGGAGTCTGCCAAGAAAGTGCCATTTGTGTGGAGGCTTGAGGGGTAGTGCAGATGTCTGGGGACACAGCAACAGCTGCCTGTTCAAAGGACTCAAGGAGATCTGAATGGTTTCAGTAGAGTGAGCAAGGGGAAGAGACAGATAGAAGGGAGGGAGGGGGTGGGGTGTTGTTAGGGGTCTATAAAGATTTGACTTTGAGTATTATTTTGGATGAAATGGAGTCTTGATTGTGACCTTTGGAAGGCTTGGCCAGCCTTTGCTTGAAAACCAGATTCATGGGGAGGGAGCTCATTCTAGCTCCAGACAGTTCCTACCAGTAGAAAATCATTCTTTATGCGAGTTGAAATATGTTTTCCTGTGATGTTTGCTCATTAACCCTAACAGACTGAATCCTTGGGTTATTTACACATAAATGGGGAATGCTGGGCCATTTGCATCCTAGTGCTGATTTCATCCCGACAGACCAATATCGTTGACCCACCATCACATACGGCCTAACCTCTGGGGCTGCCAGGTTTGATGCAAACAGTTTAAACTAAGCCTGCTGAAGGCCTGTGGGGTGGATAAGGATAGCAGCTAACCTGATTAACTTTTTTCAGCCAGTTGAATTATTTAGGAATTTGCAGATTTGTTCCATCCGTGGAGGCATGAGATTCTTTGAATAAGTGATTTACTGTATGTTGCCCCAAACTAGGATATTTGAAAAATAAAAGGGGCCGGCCTGTGGCTCACTTGGGAGACTGTGGTGCTGATAACACCAAGTCCACGGGTTTGGATCCTTATATAGGGATGGCCGGTTAGCTCACTTGGGAGAGTGTGGTGCTGACAACAACAGGTCAAGGGTTAAGATCCCCTTACCGGTCATCTTTTAAGAAAAAAAGAAAAATAAGATCACTCAACTGATTGCACTGACTACAAACTAATTTGCAGGAGATGTTGCAGTAAAGATTCTAAAGGTTGTCGACCCAACTCCAGAGCAGTTCCAGGCCTTCAGGAATGAGGTGGCTGTCCTGCGGTGAGTAAAAAGTTGGCCTGCCAGTACCACCAGAGTGGCAGGGCTGGGGATGTGGAGGAGGAGTACAAGATCTGTGGAGTATGTGGGTTGCAGGCGGCTGGGATTGGTGGCTAGTTAGTGTGCACTGTGGAGTTCCTGTGGGGGGATGCTCCTTCCTTAGGACTGAAAGGATGTTTCCTTCCAGTTATGTAGTTGTCAGGCCTTTAGAAGAGCCTCTTTTCATGAGAATACCCTCTTCTGAGCACATTAAATTCAATAGCCCAGGTCCTATCTCTGGTTCTTGGCTTGAGGTAGGGAGAAAATAGATCCTTTTACCTTTATTTCCAGTAACCCATTGTATACCCAAGTTGCTTTATTCTGGACTTCAAAATCTTCAGCTTTCACATCTTTGAGTCACTATTTAGACTTATAAGAATAAGTTGAGTTAATTGTGGACTCTACAGATGAGGGGTCCTGTGACCTCCATGGGGGGAGTCCTGAGTGTACACTGATGAAAGAGAATGCCCTCTCTGTAAACAGGGCCAGTACCAGGCAGACTGCTGGCTGGCTCCTCTGTTTGCTCAGAACGCCATCTGGATTATTAGCCCCTCCAGGCTAGAGCTTGGGTGGTGTCAAGAATACATGGAATTCAGTGTGCGTGGGAAAACAAAGGAGACTTCCCTGAGCATTTTCTCTCTTCTCCCCCCACAGCAAAACACGGCACGTGAACATCCTGCTCTTTATGGGGTACATGACAAAAGACAACCTGGCGATTGTGACCCAGTGGTGCGAGGGCAGCAGCCTCTACAAACACCTGCATGTCCAGGAGACCAAGTTTCAGATGTTCCAGTTAATTGACATTGCCCGGCAGACGGCTCAGGGAATGGAGTGAGTAGATGGCCTGATGACTCTCTCTGGGGCCCAAGCATCAACTTGTCCCTAAGTTGGAACCAGGATCAGGAAAAGCCTTCTAGTCCATTAAGTGATTATGTGTGGTATCTTTGCAAAGCTGAAAACAAGCCTCTGGGCTGGGCTGGAGGGGATCAGTTGTCAGGAATGAGAAGTTCAGGTTCCCCACCCAAGTGAGCATGTCCCCTTGGGGCTCAGATTCAGGCTCCAGCTGCCACCCTGTGGGGGCAGGTATGTTCTGCTTGGGCAGTCATGGCAGTACCCTCTGCTCAGATGTCTGAGGCATGGCCCATCCACAAATGTGTTCCACACAAGTGTTTGATCAGATGTCACTTCTTGGATAATTTATTTTCCTTTTAGAGAAGGCTTAAAGGTCATCCATAGTTCCTCCATTAAATACTGCCCTTCTGGGTCTCTGCCTGACACATTCCTCAGTGAAAGGGGTGCATATGTTGGTATGTGCATGTTCCTTTCCTGGCTAGCTGAGGGCAGTGCTTCTCAAACTTTTCTTCTGAAGTGCCTCTTATGGTAGGGAGCAGGAATTCCTTATACCTCCTGCTAAGCTAGAGCTGTGCTTACAAGTGCTACATAACTTCCCATGTTCTATATTTACAATTCATATGGAAGTTGCATTCTATTTTAAGAAATAAGTAGAATTACTTTTTAGAAAATATTTATTGATATGATTCACATACCATAAAATTTATCCTTTTAAAGTATGCAACTCAGTGGTTTTCTAGTATGTTCACAGTTGTGCATTCATCACCACTGTCTGATTTCAGAACATTTCATCATTCCAGAAAGAAACCTGTGTCAGCTAGCAGTCTCCCCACCATACCTTCCCACCCCCCAGCAGCCCCTGACAATCTACTTCTTCTCCTTATGGATATTGCCTATTTTGTACATTTCATATGAATGGAATCGTATATGTAATATACAAATATTTAAGATGTGGTCTTCTTGTGCCTGCCTTCTTTTACTTTCCATAATGCTTTCAAGGTTAATCGTATTGTAGCATGTGTCAGTACTTTATTCCTCCCTGTGGCTCAATAATATTCCACTGTATGGACATACCATGTTATTCATTCATCAGTTGATGGACATTTGGATTGTCAGAATTACTTCTGAGTAAAATTGATGCTTAAAGAAGTGTCAGCACCTTTGTGCTGTGGCCTCACCTTCAGGTAAGGAGTAACGGGGACCAGCTGAACCAGCATAGGCTGACCAGTCCTTATATGTAATACCTCACCAGAAGCCAGGCCTTCAGGGGGCTTTATTTTCTTCCTAGCTGTAGTTTGAAACTGCTTTCTACCCATGTCCCTCAAACTGGTTTTTAATAGATTTCTTTTCCCTTCACAGCTATTTACATGCAAAGAACATCATCCACAGAGACATGAAATCCAACAGTATCCTTTGGTGGTTGAGATATGTTTGACGGCTCAGTTCTAAATTTAGGGAAACAGAAGGGACCTCTTTTATCACAAGTGGTTCTCGATGCCAGGTGATAATCTTTTTAGGGAAAAAGGCAAAAGACAGGAAGAAACAAAAATCCGAAGGGGCCAGCCCGTGGCTCACTCAGGAGAGTGCGGTGCTGATAACACCAAGGCCACGGGTTCGGATCCCTATATAGGGATGGCCGGTTTGCTCACTGGCTGAGCGTGGTGCTGACAACACCAAGCCAAGGGTTAAGATCCCCTTACCGGTCATCTTTTAAAAAAAAAAAAGTCCGAAAGTTAGTTGAAAACAGAATTCTAAGGTACACCTGAGGATTAGCATGTCCTTCAGCAGTTTCTGCCTCATGTAATAAGAGCCATGTCTGGGGAAGGTTCCTTCCTTCCTTGAGTTTATCTCAGCAAAAGTGATTTGGAAAGATTTCCACTGGAGTTGAGATACATGTTTGGGTTAAGCTTGAAACAGGCCCAGTACTACTAGTTTTATTACCACTGTTTATTATTATTATTATTATTTTTTTCCTTTTTGTCTTTTTTCGTGTCTGGCAACGGATCGCAACCCTCAGTGTTGCGCCCGTACCGGACTGGACCGGCAATGGGATCGCAGCCCTCAGTGTTGCACCCGCACCTCGCTCAGCCAGTGAGCGGGAACCGGTCTGTATGTGGGATCCAAACCCTCGGCGGGAACGCCTCCGTGCTCCCAAGCGGCGCACTGTACCAGTGCGCCACCGGCCGGCCCACGCCACTGTTTATTATTAAATTTAATCTGGGGGGAATGGGCTTTTGTCTTTTATGTTTATTTCTAGTTTGTGGACAGAGTATGTACTACAAGTCAAATGTTGCAAGATTTCCAAAATTGCTACCTAAAATTGTCTTTCTTGAATGTACAGAAGTGGTTTCCTTAGAGGTCACTCTTGGGAACAACCCCCCACCCCAAACACTTACTGTGTTTTTATAGAAAAGAGAGTGAATAAAGGTATTTTTCATGCTATAAGGAACAAAATATAACAATTTTAAATTTGCCTCTCTCCCTCAGCCTTTTCCCTTTCCCTTTGAAAGGAATGTGGCATTACAGCTGAACCTTGCTTCTTGGTCAGCAAGAGGCATGATAGTTGTGTTGAGTTGAATTATGGGACGTGGCCTATTTTGGGTTTCAGTCATGGAGCACCTTTCATTGATGGGTTTTTTGGGCAGCCAAACATTATATCGTGAAAGCAGACACCACAGATACAAGGAGGTGTAAATTCCTGGTCACCAGCCACGTGACCAGGAACAAGTTGGACTTAAATTGCCTGACTTCTTTACCCAGAAGTGAGCTGACTTTGGTTCGGAATCTGTAGTCCTAGTGAGAAATTTCTTATGACAGCATTCAGCACTCAGTGAAGGATTTGCTATGTTGTTAACTACTCATGTTTCAGTTGGTTGGTTGAAGACAGAATGCAGGCAGAAACAATTGTAGCAATCGGCAGTCCCTGTTTGGCCCTCTGGGAGTGCTGGAAGGCAGCCTCTGCTCTTAGCCTTGGGGTTTACCACACCTGTATTATGTGGGAAGGTCACAAGGCCAGCAGGTTCTCATATTTGTTGTCATACAGTTGTTTATAATAGTCTGTAATGATTTTTCATATTTCTATGGTATTGGTTGTAATGTCTCCCTTTTCATTTCTGATTTTTGTTATTGGGCCTTTTCTCTTCTTTTTTTTTTTTTTTTTTTTTTTTAACCGGGGAAAAATTTTGGTTTTTTTTTTTTTTTTTTTTTGGCTGTGTCCCTGCCTGCCTCCTGAAAGAAGGGGCATTTCAGAAGCACTTTTAAAAACTTTAGAAACCTTAGCAAATTCATTGCAGAGAAGGCTGGGACTGACAGAGAAGGCTAGGGAGGTAGAGAGATTACTTCATTATAAAGAACTTTGGGAAGTTTTTAAAAATTAACTTGACCATTCGTTTGAAACCAGAGTCCTTAACAAGCACTGAGATATATTTCTCCATGAAGGCCTCACAGTGAAAATTGGAGATTTTGGTTTGGCAACAGTAAAGTCACGCTGGAGTGGTTCTCAGCAGGTTGAACAACCCACTGGCTCTGTCCTGTGGATGGTGAGGAATCTGGGCTCCCACTAGCAGTCCCCAGTACAGGCCCAAAGGAATGTCCTGGAGCTCTACATGCAAATGTAAAGCACTTCTATACATTTCCCCAAAGTCCAAATAACCTCTAGTGTCAGCCTGGGGCAAATGTGGATTTCCTAAAGGAAAGTGGAGATCAGAGCCATTCTGAAGCTTACGTTGATAGGAGTTAGCAAGCTGGGTGGGAAGGGCTGGGTCCTGGTCAGAGACCAGGGTTCCTTAGCTGGCTTTAGCCAGTGCCCAAGAGTCCTTTGGGGAAGAGCTACCTGGGGGCTGAGGAAAAGACTTTCTATAGCCTGGCCCCTGGATGTCTGTTGGGGCCCATCACATGGCAATGAACATACTTTGTCCTGTAGGCCCCAGAGGTGATCCGAATGCAGGATAACAACCCATTCAGCTTCCAGTCTGATGTCTACTCCTATGGCATTGTACTATACGAGCTGATGACGGGGGAGCTTCCTTATTCCCACATCAACAACCGAGATCAGGTAAGTCTGTGCTGGCACTTAAGGCCTAACTCGTGGGAGCCCCTGGGCCTCCTGCCTATCTAAGCAGCAGGAGGGTTACTTTCTGTTTTCGGTCCATTCGCTCAGCTGTTTTCTTTCCTTTAGATCATCTTTATGGTGGGTCGAGGGTATGCCTCCCCAGATCTTAGTAAGCTATACAAGAATTGTCCCAAGGCAATGAAGAGGCTGGTAGCTGACTGTGTGAAAAAAGTTAAGGAGGAGAGGCCTCTTTTTCCCCAGGTAAGAAGACTTAGCTCAAGTGTGCTGGAACTGGATTAGTTAACGCAGAAGTTCCTAACAGTAAAAATAAAGGTGGCAAGTGCTTTGTTTTGTTTGTAGGGAGGGGACTCGTGTCCTCCACAATATGTTGGGGGAGGTAGGGGACAGCCTGTCTTTGGACCCTATTGACAGCTGCTCCTGAGGAAACAAGCCCCAGCCAATCAGACCATTCTGTGGCCTTGTTTCAGATCCTGTCTTCCATTGAGCTGCTCCAACATTCTCTACCGAAAATCAACCGGAGTGCTTCTGAGCCATCCCTGCACCGGGCGGCCCACAGTGAGGATATCAATGCTTGCACGCTGACCACATCCCCAAGACTGCCTGTCTTCTAGCTTTGTGCCTGCACTCAGGCCACCAGGGGAGGAAGGGAAGTCAACAGGCACCACTTTTCTGCTCCCTTTCCACAGGGGCAGAGCGCATGTTTTCAGAGAAGCTGCTGCTAAGGACCTTCCAGACTATGCACAGGCCTTAACCTCATGTTGCCTTCTTTTTTACCCCTTCTGGCCCTGGGAGCAGGAAGCCATTCATGAGGCTGCTCTGGCCTCCCTTCGGCCCATGCTCAGGAGCCCAGCCTTCTCTGGGTGCACAAGTGGATGCCGATGGCAATACAAAAGGGGGGGGGGGCCTGGTTGTTAGCTAAAGGAGTGTTATTAGGGGAAGTAACGGTAGCAGGCAGTCCAGCCCTGATGTGGGGATACATGGACTTTGGAAATCACCTTCTGTCAATAAGGAATGCATATCACAGGAGGGACTTTTCTTCAGAGATGGTGCAGCACCAGTTTTGCACATAACGCACCAAAACAGCCCGGGACTGCCGAGAGCCAGCCGCCCACGGGAGCCTGCTTTAGTACTATGGAACTTGGACACGTCCTCCTTTCGAAGCATCCAGTCCATCAGGCTCGTTTTCCCAGTGAGGCACTCGGCCTGCCCTCTCAGGGAGCAGTCTTCCGTCATGCTGAATCTCGTCTTCCAGGAGCTGCCCCTATGGGGCAGGGCCAGCCTTGTCTCTAGTCACACCATATGTGTATGTAAGGAAGCCAGGAATACAGGTTTTCTTGATGATTGGGGTTTTAATTTTGTCTTTATTGCGCCTGACAAAATACAGTTATCTGATGGTTCCTCATTTATGTTATTTTAATAAAATAAATTAAGTTTAGGTTTAATGGCTGTTAAAGTAATACTGAGTCACAGCTTGAACTCTCTATTTGTTCATGCCCATTTGGAACAGAATTCAAATGGGACATAAGCCCAGAGCCTAGGCTGGGAATGAACTTAATTTAGCCTTTGTCTATGCTCTTTGTAACTAAACCTTTACCAAAGAGTCCACTATAAAAATTAAGCAAAAAGCACTGTAAACTCAGGTAAGAGATCCTCTACCCATACTTTAAGCAATGCATCTTATAAAATTTGCTCTCTACAGCTTTTTACAAAAATAGATAATTCAGGCTTGGAACAAGTCTGTTCTGACTCACAAGGTTATGCTTGCCCGTCTATTAAAACTGAGCTGATGACGTAGGACTTGCCCTCATTTCCTTTCAGGACCACTGCTGGGTCACAGCTAGGCTTTACAGGTAAGAATAGATGACTTCTTAGCTCAGCTGGTTAAAGTGCCATGTTATACCACCAAGGTCAAGGGTTTTGATCCCAATACAGGCCAGCCACCAAAAAAAGAATGGATGGCTTGAGTAGGAAGCATGCATCGTATAAGCACACCTGTGTTTTTGAGTCCTCAATACAACTGCCTTGATGGACAGGAGCCCCCTTAAGAGGGAAGGTTTACGGTTTCACTTTGCACATATGGCAGCTGGACTACTGCTCTGATTTAGGACACTTTAATAAAAGCTCTATGCTATAGCTGAGTAATGCTCACTTACACTGTGTGTTCTGAAAGCTCTATAAATCAAGATTTTGACCACGCACTATTTAAATATGCTAGGCAAATCTACTATAAAGGAATCCTTTTATAGGGGTTGAAGAAACCTTCAGTAAGAAAAATGAATCTGCCTGCTTTAGAGGCAGCTGCAGGTTTACTGTTTCTGGAGAGAAAAAGATCAAGAAGGACAGGAGCCAAGTTTGTTTTAAAAGCAACGAATCAAAACAGTCCAAGTAGCTAGCTGGCTCCCCTAGTGCAACTACGATGTCAACTATAAAAATAGCAATTCCATATACTTATTACGTTATTTTATAACCTTCCCTCTTCCATGGCTGTAATGAAGAGTGGACGAGACCAAGGGTAACTACAACCCACTCAGATCCAAGCCTCATACTGCACCTTGGGCTGCAGCACAGGGAAGCTCTGCACACCCTGGCTTGGGAACATTTCAGCCAGCTCAGTGCAAGATGCAGGGATGATCATCTACGCTTTAGGGTTCTGATGACTCCACTCCAGAAAGGTGCATGAACAGGTCCCCAAGCTCTGTCATGTCGACATCTTCAGTGTTGGGGACATGCTGGCTTTCTCGGTTCTCAATGAAATCCCAGAGCCGCACTGAATTGAAGAACTGCAAAAATAGCCAGCAAACACGCCTGGTTACTGCTGAAGGTGACATGAAGGCTGTGTAGCTTGTTCCTACACCGAGAGGGGCAGGGAACAGTACCTGGGAATGCCCACCACTAAGTGACCCTGACTAGAGACGGTGAAGTCCTTACCCTCACAGTGCCTTCAGAACTGAGCTGTTTCCGAGGCTTCTCAGGTTCTGCGAGCCGCCCATCAGGGTAGGCATGGCGGTAAAGGCATTTGCTTCCAAATGGGCAGGTCCCCTTGCCCTGTTCAAAGTACTTACAAGCTTTTTTTCTGAAAGGCAGAAAAGAAAAAAGTAAGGCTGGTGGGAAAATGAGATGAGCTACTGCCGCCTTCTATCCCCACCAGTAACGCCAGAGCTAGTCATAAGTGGGGATACTGAGACTGAGAGGGGTTAAGTAACTTGTCTCAGGTCATACACAGCTGGGATTCTGATTTCCAACATGTATAATATCCCCACTGGGACATGCAGCCTCACACAGAATTTAAACCTGCTTGGGACCTGCTGTGTGTGGAGCCTGTGGTGCTCCAGAAGCCCTCCAGGCAGTTACTGTGCTTCCAAGGTCACCAGGCAGCAGCCGGAGAACTAAACCAGGCCTGTGCCTCTAAGGGCCAAGGTCTGAAGCTCAGCCATTTGCCACCACTCAACTCCCCCCATGTAGTTCCACCTAGGTGAGTGGCCAGCAGTGCTACCAAGAGGACCATGGACACTAGGAATTAAAAGTCACAGGGGAAGCAGTGGATTTTAGCATCTGCCTAAAGCTACAGGTCTCATTCCAATTTTCCTGTGTCCTCACCCTCTTGAGTAAGGCTGCTTCATTTGCTTTGGACCCTTTCTCGGAACAGTATTTTTAAATGCATAAAACACATAGGTTATCAAAATTACAGTTATCAAAAAGTTCGAGTTTTCAGGGGTTGGCCCGTGGCTCACTTGAGAGTGTAGTACTGATAACACCAAGGACACGGGTTCGGATCCCTATATAGGGATGGCCGGTTGGCTCACTTCAGAGAGCGTGGTGCTGACAACACCAAGTCAAGGGTTAAGATCCCCTTACCAGTCATCTTTTTAAAAAGTTCGTGTCCCGTAACCCCCCCCCCCCATCTCTGAGTTCTACCCACATGCTCCTATGTTAAGAACCCTACTTCTGAAGAAAATCTGAATCAAACAAATTTCCATTTATTTTTGCTCAAATGAAATTTGGCTTATCCGGTCATAACTGACCCCTCCTGAAGAAAAGGAATAGATGTCCAAGAAACCAGAGGACCACCTGGAAGGACAGGATGGGAGAGTTGCAGAAATAAGCTGTGTCACAGCAGAAAGGGCGGGCTGCTGCAGGGGCAGCTGGGGCATGTGACATGGTAGATGGGAAGGGGGTACTCCTTGACTCCGGTTTTCTGTCTTCTCCAAGGGGATGGTGAGAGACCACAGGTGAAGTTCTCGGAGACAGACTGCAGAGCATATAAAGAAGAGCTCCCCGAGAGCTAGTTCAACCAAGCACGGGTGGCTGGGGCGCGGATTCAAGCAGAGCAGGCATGTGGACCAGACAGATGTCTTCCAGGGCCCCTACCTGCCCCTGAGGTTCTGAGCAGACGTCAGATGTCCACTTCAGGGTATCCCAGGGCACTTGCGTTAGTAACTCATCAGGTTCAAAAAATTATTCTTTAGTCCCTAACCCCATGACAGTTGTTCTTTTTCTTCCCCAGCCTTATCTGGTCACCAAGGCCAGAGGCCTCCAGGTCACTCTGACTCCCTCTTTGTTCTCAGTTCTCATCTGACTGTTTACAAAGCATCTCCCGATCTCCCCATCCCTTCAGGTCCTCCTCTGTTGCAGCTGTTGGGATGCCATCCTCTCCTGCCTGCCTGCCTGCCTGCCACAGTCATTCCTTAATTGGTCTCCTTCCCACCCTCACCAGTTTCCAACGTCTTCACCGACCACAGAAGAGCTTCCCAAACAGTGTGTCACTTGTCATCCTGTTCTTAAAGACCACGGTCAAGCTGGGATTCCAGGACCCTTCAGACTCGTCTTTGTCCCTGGAGGTCCTACCACATCCTTCCACACACCTATTTCAACCCAGGGACCATTCCCACTGCCCTTAGATACAAAATCTGCACCTTCCTGTACCCATGTCATTCCATCCCTTCCCCTCCCACAGATGGGCTCTTCCTGAATCCTGGCTCTGGGCCTCTGTATTGCCTTCCCTGATATCCTCAGGTGGATCCAAGTGCTCTGTTATGACATCTGGCTTGGGCCTCTCATGAAGAATCTGTCACCAGAAAACCTGTATCATAATTGCCTTTTTGTAATTTCCCACGGGATTCTCTTACATTCTCTGCTCTACAGCCTCCAGTGGTGCTTAGATTGAAGGTGCCTGGCCCACAGTGGCAGCTTAGCACGTTTGTGGAATGCACAAAAACAGTCCTCAAAAGAAGCAAGGCCAGGAAAGATCTAAACAGGAGTAATGAGAATTTTCCACTCCTCTTCAGCAGAGCTGCTCTCTACAGGCTGAGACCTGCATTCTTCTGCACCCAAAACAACATCACATGAGGAAAAAATGGGAAAATAGGAAAATATCAAGCCTTAGCAACTGATACGCCACATAAAGGAACCATTTAGAAAGGTCAATATAGTTCTGCTTTTAGTATGGTCAAGTAAAATTCTACCAGACTTGATCCTCCCAGAGATAACTATAAATATAAATATTTCAAAAGGACCTGAAAGCACTGAGAATGAACAAAATCAGGAAGAATGGAATGGCAAGGGGTGAATGAACACTTTTTTTGAGCAGGCCAAAGTCAGCACCATGCAGGCTGGCTAAAACTACAATGGGAAATCCAGTTTTTCTTGCTGAAGAACCAAAAGACAGAAAATCAGCCATTGGGAAGAGGAAGCAATCCCAAAAGGTAAGGGCCTGAGAAGGAGTGCTCCACAGGCTGTGTATAAACTCTGCCCAAATCTTTGCCCCCAGCTAAGGATTCAAAAACTGCTGCCTGAGTTTGAGTTCAAACAATATACTTGCTTGTTAAAAACATCAACACTTTACAGATGAACCTAAGGGAATCCAGAGTCTCTACAATGTAACATTTACAATGTTAAGGATATAATCTAAAGTGATTGGACATATGAAGAACGAGCAAAATGTGACCCGGTCTTAAGAAAAAAGATAATCAACAGAGACCAACCAACCTCAAGATAATAATGATTTCAAAACAGCTACTCCAACCACATTCAAGGAGATGGAGAGAGAGGGGAAAAAAGATTGGAAAAGAATCTGATGAAGCAATGGCTAAAATTTCCCTAAATTTGGTTAATGACAAACATACAGATTCAGAGAATA